TCTGCTGCTGACGAGGCGTGCCCGGCCGGGCTGCTGGGCCGGGCTGGGCTGGGCTGGCTTCGGCTGCAGAAAAAGAAAAAAAATGCTAAAGGCAGCCCCTCAGTGGCAGTGTGCTAAAACGCCCCTTTTCACTGTGCTCCTGGCTGGGGCTGGAGCTGGCTTCAGCTGCGGAAAAAGGAAAAAAACACCCCAAAGCAGTCACTTTACTAGGTCCAGCCCCCCCAAGAGCTCTTTGCAAAGGGACTGCTTTGGTGTTTTTTTTCTTGAGCATGGTGAAAAGGGGCATTTTAAAATGCTGCCATTGAGGGGCTGCCTTCAGCATTTTCTTTTTTCTTTTTCCACAGCTGAAGCTGGCCCAGCAGCCAGGCCAGGCATGCCTCATCAGCAGTGGGAGCAAGAAGACAGCAAGGTTAACTGGGGCAATGGAGGGCAGGGTGGCAGGGGGGTTAAAAGACATAGATGGGGGGAGATAGGTGAGTGGGACTGGGCTGGGGTGGATGCGGCCCTGGGGTGTGGCAAGCAGCCCCAGAGCCGCACAGTTCTGGGGGTGGTTGCCACTCTGCAAGGCAGGGTGCAGGATGGCCAAAAGGGCAAAGTTGGGGGGGAGATAGGCAGGTGGGGGAGTTGGAGGCAGTCCCTTACCTTACCGAGGCTCAGGGCTGGGAGGAACCAAGCTCGGAATGGCTTGAATTTGCTTAACAATGGCAAGTGAAATTGCTGGGATTGCCATCGCTAAGCGAAGCTGTCATGTGACATCTCGCTTAATGACCACATCACTTAGCAACCTAAATTCTGGTCCCAATTGTGGTCATTAAGCGAGGACTACCTGTATGTTACTGGTTTTAGCAATACATGAGGCTGCAAATTTAAGTCCAACTTTAATCTCCTCCAATATAGTAATTATGGTTATGTTTCTTCCCTTTCCTGATTTTGTTACATTATACAAACAGAGGAGTGTTTTATGATAACCTTGTGCTAAACAAATGAGGATCAAAATCCCCCTCCCCCCTTTTCCCCTTCAGTTGTGTTTGAGCATGATTTCATGGATCAGTATGTTCAAGTTTGGAATATCCTAGCTAGACAGTGCTTTCAACACCAGGAGTGGGTTCATTTTCTAATACAATTCTCTAGTATAAATCGTATTATCAATGAACAGAGAGAGTTCAAAGTTATGTGACAGCAGAAAATTCTTTTATTCTGTATTTGCACAGTCATGGACATTTTCATGAGAGCCAGATCTTAGTATTAGAGAACCTAATAGTCTTAAAGATGTTTCTGTCAAAGCTAATTTTACACGACCAAATTCTGAAGTTCCTACTCCTCAAAGCTTTGCTAGTCACGGCCACCAGTGCTACTTGTTCTAGATGTCGTCGTGGCTGTGTTTGAATTAGTTCTGTGCCTAATTACAGATTACATTAATCACATGAAAATCAGCCAAGTTCTGATTATCAGTAATACCAAAGGTTACCTTCCAGTAGTCAATAGGCTGTAAGGTGCAAATTATCATTCCAGAGTCATAACAAGAGGGAGAAAAAAAGACTCTTAGTTCTTGGGAACTCTTTTTTCCTCTGATATGTATGAATTCTGTAACAAATTGAAGAGAGTGGATAAAAGTATAAAGCTCACAATAGGTCATTCCAAGCTGATCTGTATTACTTGCATACTAGACTATAATAAGGCAGATTTTTTTACCTTTACTAAGAAGCCTATGCATCAGGCCATTATTCATCTCAAGAAACATTAGGGTTTAGCCTTCCTCAACCTACATCCTTCAGATGAGTTGAGGCTGGGTCTCAAAATTTTCATCCAGTATGGTCAACAAGCTGAACATTGTAGTCCAACAAATTTGGAGGCTCTTTCAGGCTACCATAGATTCTAAGTATCCATAGAATAAGTCTCTAATATAAAATTGTTCCTGGTTATGTCTTTAGACTTATAACCATGGCACTAGTACCATTGAACTGTATTCCTACAATGCACTGGAAGGTATTATGGGTAAAATTAAAGGTCTTACAATCGCTCATTGGACTAATTCATGATGAACCTGTTAAAATATGGTTTTATTTTAAATTATGTAAAACAATTGTGGATATACTGACATGCCATAAAATAACTTAAGAGAATCTCAAAAGAATCCTTGGAAGAATATTGGTACTTATATAAAAATGTTGCCATGATAAATTTCACTGAAATATGTTTCAGTATTTTGCCAGAAAACTTATGGGTCTTTTTTTTTTCATTTGCTGAAGCTTTGTGTTTATCAATTATTTCAGTAACAAATTAGTTAAAGATTGTACATAACCTAAGAAAAAAGGAAAATATATTTTAATGGAGAAATCTTATTTTCAGATCTATTTAACTGCTGATAGATTGTTACAAAAAAAAAAGTTGTAAATTTCTGAGTTACAGTGTAGTGTAAAAATATTTGGTTTAAAAAAACATTTAGTATAGTTCTTTTATTTTTTATTTTATTTTATTTTATAATAAAATGTTTGCCTGTTACGGCTTAATTGCACCTGAATTGCATGTGATTTAATTTCAGGTTGTAATTGAGCCAGGTTTGCACTAAATGCTTAGTTTCATAATATATTACATGGGAGGGGGGTAATTTCCTTTTTTTTTCTGATGAGGTAGGATGAGGCATGCATTGTATCTGGTACATAACTAAGAGCAAGCACTATGTATAGAATACACAGCTTTTTCTTGACAGGTAATTGTACTTGTAAAATCAAAGGGAATCTGTAAGAGTTTGCAGGGAGAAATAGTATTTTATACTTTTGATAAGATATACTTTGTTTAAAAAATTGTTCATGTGATGGAAAAAAAATCTTTTAAATAAATTAATCAGCATTTTATTTTTTGGTTTAATATTTCCAACCCATCAGAATGATGGAAAGAAATTAAAGGGGTCAACATGGTACCTCTCCAAAACTGAACAGAAGGACCAAATTTGATACAAGTTTTGGGCAGGCCGGCCCATAAAAAGAGTTTGAAGTGGGCTGGATTAAGGCAGAGACTGCAGACGAAAGAATCCCTATTGCATCCATAGGGAAGAGGCAGTTGGGCAGAAACTCAGAAAGTTGGTAACTACTTCAAGCTAAGCCCGCTTCCCTTCCAGTCATGTGATCCAAATTCCAGTACACACACATACAGAAAAGTATGGCCACTGTTGGTAAAGCAGCAGAAAGGATTCTGGAACCGATGTACATCTTGTTCTTGCTCTTTTGCTAACAGAACTCTAGACATCTGTTGTGCTTCATCTCCTACGTCTCCTTGGAGAACCAAAGGTACAATGTACAGTGAGACGCCCAGTAGGAACAATTTGATTCAAGGCCCTCATCAGCTGCCTGTTCCTGACCTAAGACCTTGGCCAAACTGCCTAGCAGATCTTCAGGGACAATCCCAAGCTCCCCTGGAACTTTTCCAGGTCCATTAGTCACTTGGTGTGATCCAGTCTAAAGGCCCTACCTCCCTTTACCAGCAAGACAAAATCAGATCCTTTACCATGGCAAAGTAATGTCTTTCACAACCAGATCATGTTGCAATTGTCCCAACAAAATGCAGAGCTAATGTGTGATCTAATATGTGTTGTGCCTTCAAATGTATGTGTGTGTATTTTCAAATTTGTCACTGCCCATCTCAGTACATCAATGATTTGGGTCAGGTCAGTGGTGGCCAAGAACTGAGCTGCTCCTGATTCCAGGTCACGGGGGGGGCAAGTTGAAGTCCCCAAGAACTAACAGCCT